GAGCTAACATCAATCATTCATATTCGTATCCCTTATAGTTGCCAAGAATAAATACCGTCATGTACTTAGTGCATTTAAAAAAATCAATTCCAGTTTTTAAACTCGGCTATATTTCAGGTAATCATATTTGTGAAGGCTCACATGTAATGTGTTTATTTTTTTCTAATATACATAAAATAAAAACAGACCCACTGAACTAATGTTTTCTAAGGTTGGCAGCATCTGAAAGCATCTGAAATACCAGGACACATTTTACAGGTTGGGCAATGCAGTCTACACACAGTCATTCATCTCTCAGTGGCTCTCTCAACAAGAATTGAGACAACACTTATCAGGTGAATGGAGAGCTAGAATGGCAATAGAAATGGAACAGCATCTTTCCTGCCCTCACTAAGCAAACAGACATGCAGCTGGGAGATGAGAACAATGAGAGCCCTGGAGATGGGGGAAGGGGATCGTGCGGCAGGGCACCTCATTCCACTGGGCAGGCCAGTTCCCACAGGAGACAGGACAAGGAAAGAGGACCAAGCATCATTCCAAACTGTTATTCCAACTTATTCTAAATTCCCATTTCAAGACAACTTGGCTGTGCACCCAGATTCTACTCCTGGAGATCAAAGGCCTGTTCCTAGAGCCCCCCAGGTGTGATTTCTCATCTGTAAAATGGACACATCATCCAGTTTGCAGAGCTGGATGCCAGCAAAGGAAAGTTTACATCAGGGGATCGATCCTCTCACAACAGGATCTTCCTCATCGGCAGGCTTGCTGTATGTGCTTGTTTCTCCTCTGGATGTTTAATGCTCTTGGTTATCTCTTTGGCAAAGCAGCCCTTGGCATACGTAACCAACTTAATATGGGTTGTGGGAAGGCTTTCCAAAGTCAAGACACAACTCCCAGAGCCTTGCATGTATTTCCTGTTGCAACAATATCCTGCATAGTTGGAGGTGCATAAGTTCCCACTAGAAACTGAGGCATGGAAAGGTTTTGTCACTTGCCCAGGTCAAACAGCTGGCAAATGGAGGAGCAGGTAACTACCAAAATCAGTAACCACTAAAATTGCCAACTCTCTGCTCAGATGTTGGGGTTCTTGTTCCAACATTAAGAAGGGTTCAGCAATCTGTGGAAAGGCTGTGTGTAGATTAAGTAGGAGTCCAAAGACGAAAGATAATTTTGAGAGGTATTGGGGGTCAGAGGGGCCTGGCTGAAGAAGCTAAGTTCTTAGTTCTCCTTGTCTCAAGACCCCTCGCTTTTTATTAACACACACTGTCCTAAGGCAAGGTGGAGATATACACTTCAAAGGGTTTCATATAGGAGCATTGTCAGATTGGGAATGTTCAGGTGTTTGGCCAGTAGGAGGCAATATGTAGATTTAGATGTCCTGAGCTATCTGGCAGCAAACAATCGTCTTATTCAGGTTTGGGGGAAATGCCTTTAGCCATTCTAACAGGTGACTACATATGTGACTCAGCCTTTGTTGAGTCCCCAAGTTCCATCAACTTTTTGATGAAACTCTTAAAATTATGACATGCTGGAACGGGTTTCTGGCACTCAGATATGTCTCTTAACTAGTGCTCACAGTAGTGTAGGACCACATCATCATCTAGCTCAGTGATTCTCTGCTAGAGCAATTTCTGTCTCCACCAGAAGACATTTTGTTGCCACAGCTGTGGGGTGGGTGCTACTGGTATCTAGCAGGCAGAGGTCATTGATGCTATTATACAACCTACAGTGCAAGGGACAGACCTCTCCCCAAATTATTAACTAACACGGAATGCCAGTAATGCTGATGTTTAGAAACCCTAAGGTAGGCACGACCTTCTTAACTCTGCAGAACCTTAACTATGCAGCACGCAGCTATCTCTAATTCCAAAAGGGGGAGCTTCAAGTTGAGGGCAGGAAAACCATATGTGCTTTTGTCACTGGAAAGTGATGACCTTGAGCCAATTGCCCAGAGTACATTTGGCTAGTGATGCAGATAAGCTGGTTACAAGCCTCAGGTGAGACACTGTGGCTAGGTAGAAAGGAAAAGGGACGAAGCATGACATCTGGCAGAAATCGAAGATAGCTATCAGCCAGCTGCTCGTGTCGAGAAAGGCGAAAATAGAAGAAGCACGTGCTCTTATGCAGCAATCTTGGCTGAGCCACACCCTGGGAGAAGCAGTCATGGGGATGGAGGCAGCTCCCTGGACGGTGGAGAGCGGGGAACTGGCTAAGAAGGCAGCCAGGGGATGCAGAGGGACCTGCCAGGGCCCTGGGATCAGGCAGGCTACCCACAGCTTCGGCTGCATCTCATGTTATTGAACTGCTGCTATGAATGCTTTTTTAAAAAGGGGACCTGAGGCTGTCAGTCAAAGAAGGAGGCAAATGGAAAAGTTGGAGAGGATTATGTTTTGTGATGTTTTTCTACATAACCTGCAAAATAACCAAGTGAGGCTTATAGGGCTTGGCTACTGTGAATAGGAATAGGAGACAAGAAGCTGACCTGAGTTCTTTTGCTTTATTCAATCTAATAAACATTTTATTTATATAAAAGACGAACAATGCACAGTATGAAAATAAGTACTTGAGACATTTGATATAAAAAGAGTATATAGCATTCACATTCCTATTTTAATACATGAGTATGGCTGAAGTGTTCCATAAAAGAATAAAACTTTCCCTTTGTGTAGAGTAGTAAAAAAAAAAAAAAAAAAAAAAAAAAGTCAGTATTTTTAGGAACTACAGATTATTCCTTGGTCGTCGTCTTGAATAAGAAAAACAACAACAGATAAACAAATCAAGCCACTGTAGCATCTGATTCTACATTCCAGTTTATGCTGACCCAGAAGTAATAAAGCTCTTTGGAATCATTAGTAGACCAGTATTCTAGAAATTCGCCACTAGAGGTCAATGAGCAACAGCTATTGAATGGTGTCAACAAGCCTTCAAAGTGCTCGGAATTTCTGGGCACTTCCCATGTATTGTAGCCAACCTGTCCTTAGGTTTCAGCCCCTCATACTCCCTCCACCCCCATGGGATAGGGTGCCTAAAAGTTCCACCTACTTCTAAACTTCAGTATGCCTGCTAAAACCCCAATGAGATGAGCTCTTTCAAAATCCACATAGAGCTGGTTGACTCACTGTGAAATCTCTAATATTCCTATATTTGGCAGAAAATAAGTAGCTTCTTAAAAAAAAAACAACACACAAAAATGATTATTTGCAGCATTGACACTTGTTTGTGGAAGAACAAGTTTCCTATGGAGTATTAAAGCTCATCCTTTGTTCTCGGCTATGCAGATTTCCTAACTTCAAACAGGACTCCTGTGTTCCACCCTCAAATCCTCACTAGGAGATTCTGCAAGGTTGGGAAGGCTGGTGTGATAGAGAGACCGGTGATCATGAAGAAAGCTTCTTGGAGAAAAGGACTCCCCTTCATAATACAGAGGGGAAGGAAGCTCTTAATAGAGAGATAAAAGAGACCTGGCTAGCTGGGACCGCTCAGAGGAGGTCCCCTTTAGTTCAAAAAGGCCAACTTCAAATCTTAACACCAAATGGGGAGAGGAAGGGAATCGGTCATATGACGCAGCCAGGGAATGATACTTGCATGCATATCCCTTATAGGGGGACTTGGTTCGGGGAGGGGCAGGGATGGGTGGGCAGAAAGCGCCAATGTTTACATCAAGAAGTGAAGCAGCTTTGTAAGTGCGTCCACACCTTCATTTTATGAGTGATGTGGGTCAGAGAGAACTGCAAACCATCTGCTAACTAGTCTCACTGGAGGATCTAGATGGTGTGTGTGTATGTGTAAAATCTCCAAATATGTAAAAACTGGCTCTATTTTGTGAAATACAGCGCTGGCCAAGCACAACACATGTTCGGAGTGCCTGAGGAAGCAGTCCCAACTCGGGCAGTGTTGTCCAGCTCAAATCCTTTGCACCAGACCAAGGTACACTTGAGCACTCTGGAGCCTGGGAGACGCAAGCTACTGGTGTGGCTTAGAAAGCTGGAGACTCACACCAAGTGTGCTGAAAAGTTAAACACAAGGAACTCTGGGGAGATTTGATCCTTTTTAGGAAAGGGAGAAGCGCTGGGAGCAAACAAGAGTAACATAGGTATGGGGGGAGGAGTAATATATATATATTAGTAGAAGGTATAGCAATTTCATGGACAAGGAAATTTGTCCTGACTTTTCTGCAGCCAGTGAAGGCAAAAACGGTGCTCAAGAATATTTTAACCATTAGAGATGGGGCCACATTTCTGCGCTAGTTGAGGAAGGCAATGCGAGGCTGGCCAGATGTGGGGCCGGAAGCTCAAGTGAACAATTCAGGAGAAAGAGTGGCACAAGGAGCCCCGGGGATCTGGTCCCCATACAGTGGGACTCTTAAGTAGCTCTGTGGACAAAGGAGGGCCCGCACACACAGAATGATTTTGCAGAAGCAAGTGTGACGTGGCCATAGCAGACTGTGAGACACGGAGCCTCTCTCCTAATGCCAGCCCCTCCCTCCCCCCATGTAGTCAGAGAACCACCCATCCCACCTGTGATTGTCAAGTGCTAATGTTGCCATGGATCCCTTCTTCTGTGCTCAGCTCTGGAGCTCTCTAGTCAAACCCATTTCCTGGGAAAACCTTATCTTTTTCTTTATCTCTTTCCAGAGTATGGCTGTGTATATATATATAGACATATATATATATAGACATATATAGATATATATATATATATATATATATAAAACATAGCTATTCCATATTTATATACAGGCATTAATAAAGTGCAAATGTTATTAGCAATTATAAAAGTCAATCTCATTTCCTGAGGAACTGCTAACACAGCTTATCCTATGACAACGTCAGAGGCGTAGAATGCTTCATGTCACCCACCCTGGCCAGCTGTTTTCTGCTCAGTCCTGTCGCTTACAGGGAGGGGAGTGAGCCCTGGTTTTCCAGAAAGCATCCGTCGGCTTAGGGGCAGCTTCCACTGCCTCTGTTCTTTGGACTTGGCCCAGCCTGCACTGGGAAGGGCTATTTGGTGGTGCCCAACGAGCCATCTTCGGGAATCTTCTCCTCGGAGCCACTCCTCCCCGAGAGCCTGTCCAGGTGCTCCAGCTCGCTAAAGCGCTCGGCCACACACTGGGCCGTGAGCCGGGCTTCTGGGTCATGGTCCCAGCACTCGGTCAGAGTCTCACACACCATCTGGATGCCCTGCAGAGGAAGAGAAGTCCACAGGCAACATGAGCAGGTGTGTTGCTGGGCTCCATGGCGGGCCAGATGGTCCCTTGTTCCTGCAGTGCAGGCCAGGTGGGAAAGAGCCCAGGCATCGAACCATTTCCACCAAGCGCTCGCGGTTCGAGGCCAGCCAGTGGCATGCAGAGTGAGGGGGCTGTGCATAGCCCTGGATACTTATTGGCCCTGACCGCTCTGCTGCCTTCTGATCACAATAAGTCGTGAAACGGAGAGACAGCACAAGGACCCTCAGTAGGCTTCTGGGATCCTGAAAATTCCCAGGAAGTGCCCCCATAGCATATTACGGGACCTGATACCAGTCAGAGCTGCCCCCTTCCTCCCCAGCGTTAGGCTGGGCCCTGCGAAACAGTAGTCTTTGTGGGTCAGACCTGCCTGATTCCAGGCCTTTTCAGATGGTTCAACCTGACCCCAATCATGGTGCCCATTCAAAAGACCCATCTAGAAAATGATGCCTCATACCCTGGGGAGGGTCTTCTTCCAGGGCTTGAATGTTTACTTTGCATTGCAAATATTTTTGCTATTATTTCAAGTCCTTGTGGGAAATAAAGCAGGCCTGGGGTTACACAGATAGCCTACAGGCAGAAGGGGTGTGCTCCTGACGACATTTAGGCTCAACACTCTTATCTGCGGGACCACTCACCAGGTGGGCCTGATGAACAGATGACTCCCAGCACTGCCCTGAGAAGTAGCATGCTCTCCCCACTTGTAACTTTCCGAACACCCCTCAGAGCCCCTCCCTGCCAGGGATCACGTTCATGATGTTGAATTAATTGTATAATGCACCTAATTGACGGTATTGATTGATGGTCCCTGTTAAGAGTGGAGTGTTATTGTTGGTACACAAGTAACATTTATTTTATTCTGACACTGTAATTACAGGCAGTAAATTAAATTAAATATTAAGCATTAACTTGAAATCAATAGGGCAACAAATCTCATTAAGGGGAAAAATGTATTATGCAAATTCTTTCCAGAATTTTATAATCATGAATCATGGCTTCATTACAAGAACTGCACAGTTGAGGAGGCGCCTTTGCAAAGGAATAATAGGAGTGCCTTGTGATTTCAGAGTTAACACTCCACAGTCTCCTGTCATCTGAGTCTCAGAGGCCTGCTATCGATGACCTTACCTACCATTTCTTGAAAAGAAAAAATAAAGAAGCCATTAGGATGTTCCTAACAAACTGACTTCCTGTTTGTTCATTTGCATGTCCCTCCTCTTTACTTTCTTTCATTCTTAGCTCTGTGCACAGCCTGCATAGGCCTGCACACGGACTTGGGTGCTTGCCTCTCAGCCCCGCGGGCTTACACACTCTGCTGATTTCTCTCTGCTCAGTATTTACTTCTACAGCTGAAAGTTTCCAGAAAACATATAGAACCCAGAAGGGAACAAAACAAACTCGCTAGGTAAAGGTCTAGAGATGAGGGGCAGAGGCCGCAAACAAAATATTTTATCTGGAACCGAGGGGCCTGGGCAATGGGACAGATGCCCTTCAAAGGATAATCGTGAGCCCTCTGAGTGCTGTATCTACCTGTCAGTTGGGACTTCCAATAACAGGGTCACCCCACTTGACTGAAATTTTCTTTCTAAATAAAATCTAATGGGATCACAGCACACAAGGGAACCTGCCCTCCGATGGAAGCCCAATAGCCCAGAATCCTCTCCTACCTGAGGGGCCACTCAGATTCTCTTCTCACAACAGCCACCCCTTACCTGGTGGCTGAGCCAGGAGCTGGGAATTTCTGGTCGTCCCCGATCTCTCAGCACATTGTCCTTCATGCTTTCGACACAGGGATGCTCCCGCACCTTGGAACCAAATGGAGGCTCATACTCTTTCACTTCTGTTAAGAAAGCAGATGAACACAGAGGCATTGAGAAGAGTGTCTGTAGCTGGGGGCCAGGAGCATGCTGGGAAGGTTAGCTGGACTGAAGACACTGAGTGTCCAGATATATCTGTGACGACTCTGAGTACAATTTTTTTAATAAAATATATATTTTATTGATTTTTTTACAGAGAGAAAGAGAGAGGGATAGAGAGTTAGAAATATCAATGAGAGAGAATCATTGATCAGCTGCCTCTTGCACACCCCCTACTGGGGATGTGCCTGCAACCAACGTACATGCCCTTGACCGGAATCGAACCCAGGACCTTTCAGTCTGCAGACCGACGCTCTATCCACGAGCCAAACCAGTTTCAGCCTGGGTACAATTTTTAATCTTGGATTAAAACTAGAAGGAAGGAGTGATTGTAGAAGGAGCTTGAGGAGTATTCCACAAATGACGACTGAGTGCTAGGTACTGATTGGGCTAACAGGTAGGGACAGAGTGAAGTGCAAGACCAGCAAGGTCAGCAAGCTTTCACTGGGACCCAGCCTTCTCAACGGGGTGATGTTGCCCCAACGGAGCAAAACTGGTTCTTTCTTGGGAGGTGGAAACAGTTTTACACACTAGAATGGTTTGTAGCCAGACAATGGTCCAGAATACAAAAACAGATTTCATAGGTGGTGTAGAGTTCATGGCAATGTTCAGGCTAGGAAGGGATGAAATTCTGATACGTGTTACAGTATGGATGAACCTTGGAAATGTTATGCTCAATGAAAGAAGCCAGACAAAAAAAAGATAAATATTGTATGATTCTCCTTACATGAGATACTTCAAATAAACTAATTCTTAGAGATAGAATGTAGAACAGTGGTTGCCGGGGTGAAAAGATGGAGGGTTAGTATTTAGCAGATTACAAAGATTCAGTTGGGGAAGATTAAAAAAAGTCTGGAAATAGATAATGGTGATGGTTGCACAACATTGTGAATGTACTTAATGCTAGTGATTTAATTACACACTTAAAAATGGTTAAAATGGTATATTATGAATAGTTTCATGGGAATTCATAGTTTAGAAAAAAATGTCTACAAAGTCTCTTTAGGATAGTAGTGATGAGAAAAAGTTTGCAAAATGCTGTTTAGTAAGAGGATAGAAGGGAGAGATTAATTATAACATTAATAAACAAAAGCTTAAAAAGTCATTTTCCTTCAGTGAGACATGCTGTAAAGACAATAGAACATGATGTAACCCTTCACTAGGGCTTCAGGTTTCAACTAAGATCAATTTCTTTATAGAAACTTTCATGAATATACCCGAAACCATTCTTGATCAGATGTCCTGGGCAGAGCCCTACTTTATCATGTGTTCTATTTTAATATAATCATCTGCTTATTTGTCTTACCCAACTAGATTGTGAGCATTCGAGGACAGATTCAGAGTTCCCTTCTCATTCTTGTATTTCCAGCACCCATGAGGGCCTCCAATCCAAAAAGCTCCCAACAAGAGCTTTGGTGTGTGAGTGAATGAATGAAAGAGTGAGTGAATGAATAATCTGTCAATTCTGTCCAGAGTAGCAATGTATAAACCCTAGTTGAATTTTGCTTAAGATAGCACACTGCTGAAACCAGTTTGGCTCAGTGGATAGAGCATCAGCCTGTGGACTGAGAGGTCCCAGGTTCGATTCTGGTAAAGGGCATGTACCTTGATTGCGGGCACATCCCCAGTAGGGGGTGTGCAAGAGGCAGCTGATCGATGTTTTTCTCTTATCGATGTCTGTCTCTCTTCCTCTCTGTGAAAAATATCAATAAAATATATTTAAAAAAAACAAACAGCACACTAATTCCAGTGGGTGAGCTAGCAATACATGTCAAAGAAGCACGGGAAAATTTAAAAGATAGAAACAACTCCAGAACTAAAACATGTCAGAGCTAAAAGGGGACAGGAGGCTGGATGCAACATTCTTCTCCCAAGGAAAGAGGATCTTTGACCTATAGCTTCAAAACAATCCTGTTTAATGAGTAAAACTTTTCTCTCGTTGGCCCTCCCAGGCCAAGAAGTGAAGAAGCTTTCAAGGCAAAATGACATTTTGTGAAAATAGATGGCTTGCTCTTGTTTGTTTATTTGGTATTTTCCCCTCTTTCCCAGAACCCTGCTCACATACTTAGCTTCTTCAGCCTCACCCAATCAGGAGAGCTAGCAAGATGTCTTTCTACATCGTTTGAAATAGAGAAATGTGGGAGGAAGGCCTCCCTTCACACAAAGATAAGCACAAACCACCCTGCTGTGTGTACGCTTTTGCCTTTGTGGGTCCACAGTATTTAACCCATACTGCTCTTGGGGTGAGACCTGAGTTTTGATTTGCCTGCTGTTCATTCATTTCTTCCATTCTCTTTCTTTCTACCAAACTATAAAATTCCCAGGAAGAAGCTGAGTTTTGTGTCTTGCAACTCCCCAACCAGTGCGAAACTGCTGGGGCCAAATTACATATCTTTTATCCTTGTTTATTGTTCTCATTGCTTCTTTATTTTAGAAAATGCAGATAATTAAAAGTACAAAATCACTAGATAGATATAGACAAAAGCAAACATCTCTCAATTCCTTGCCCCTCACTTAACCAAAGTGGCTTAGGCTAAAGGGTGGGATTAAAAGTTATTTAAATTTTCCCCTTGTTGTTTGACCTTTACCCATATATTTCTTTATTTAAAAAACAAACAAAAGCAAATGTTTTGCCCCCGGTTCATTGGGGAGCAAGACTTCCGGGAAACACTATAGAAATGAAGTACAAGAAAAATGAATTCCACTTGGGTGTCATGGCAACACCAGATTGCTACTAAAGCTACTAACCACCTGCTCTCATTTCCATCCTCCTCCACGTCGCAAATCTGAAACAACCAATCAGAGGACCACAGATCACAGATCCATGGCATCGCCCTACATGTTTTGCAAGGAATAGGCACTGCATCTCCACAGAGGAAATGAATACAAGTTATTACAGATACTCTAAGGGTTTCAAATGGGTCAGACATAGAATGCTAAAGGAGAGTCTTCAGAGATGTGACCCAGCACCTCGTTTCCACAGGTGAGAAAGCGAAGGTCAAAGGATGCACTGGATCCCAGGAAGAGCTCTCAGAACTGCCAACGACATTACTGTCACTCTGATGGGATGGCTTTGCCTTTTTAGGAAGCTTTCTCCTCCTACCAAACCTTTTAGAGACTTCTTTCTCCCACACCCAGAACAAGCACGGCTGGGAACATGCCTGTCACCAACGTGACAAATGTGTCCTGGCTGCCTGGACTAGGCCCTTCCCACCAGAGGACCCGAAAAGGGGAACCTTCTGGGACGTGTTGGATGTTATGGTTTGCCATTCCTAATCAAGCACTGCAGAGACACTACTGATGGCCAAGCGGACCCCTCTCCTTACTGCTCTTCTGTACCAACATTGCGCCATTCTGGGGTTAGGGGTGCTGGAGGACCAGAAAGGGGGTAGCAAGAAGATGGGAAAAAGGAGACTGCTGCATTTTACACTGCAGGTACCAGGTCAGGGCATGGCTGGCGAGAGAGTTAAGGCAGTATTTTCTAGAGTTCCTTTATGTGCCTTTGATCAAACAATGCCCAGGCCTCCCTTCTGTGGTAAACTGCAGGGGCAGCAAGTTAAAGGGTGAGTGGGATTAGTTCAAAGAGTGCCGTCCCTGGCTAACCTAGAATGAGAACCACCCTTAAAAAACATCTGGAAATGCTTCTAAGAAAAGAAGCAAAGAGTCCAGAGTGTAAGACTGAGTTTAGCTCTTAAAAAAAATAATGCTAACACTATGCGTCACAGGTTGGGATATTGTCAGTGTTGTTTGCCCTGGCTCCATTGTGAACAGATAGGAGGATTTGGATAAGAGACGTGTGCACTTGATGCCTTAGTTTCCATACCCTCAAAATGAGGGAAGTCAGTGCCCTCCACCATTACTCTGTACTGCAGCCCTTCCTATCCATGGAATCATGCAGAGTGCCATCCTGCAGTGTGTGTGTGTGTGTGTGTGTGTGTGTGTGTGTGTGTGTGTGATTCGTTTTTATTAAGTCAAGCCCTTTCACCTTTTTCACTTAAAGGAAGCAATTTCTGGCTTCTCTTTGGCACATCCAAATTGCCAGCAACACTACTCTTGTGCTTCGGGGCCATTACTAAGTGAAACAAGGTTGGCCTGGACACAAGCAGTAAGATGCTAAGGCAGTGGATCTGATGATCCAGCGGCTATGATGGGCCTGGCAGTGGGGAGGAACGTAAACAGCATGGATGCGCTAGACAAAGCGATGATTCCCCTCCCTAGCAGGCCTCAGCACGATTTCACTACGCTACTCGGTACACTGTGCGATTTAAAACTTATGAATTGTTTCTGGAATTGTCCATCTAATAGCTTTGAATGACTGTAAGTAGCTGAAACTGCGGAAACCACTGTAAACTGCTATAGGACCAACCACTGGCCACACCCCCCTCTACACTTACCCTTTCCATGCACACTGGGTGAGCTGGCAGTTCATCCTCCCACCTGGCCCAGGAGCAGCCCTTGACCAAAGACGGATGGACACTGTGAGATAAACACCCAGCTTCCTCCTGAACCAGGTGGGGTGAGGCTGAGGTACACGTCTGACCTGGGGCACCCCAGGACCCCAGGAAAGTTAAGCTCCAGTTGTCCACAATGCAGACCCACTTGCCGACACACCACTCACTGGCTTCCTTCCCTTTCATGACTCACTTCCCTGCTCCCTCGTTGGCATTTCCTGAGATCTATTCCCAAAGAGCTACACACACTCCAATTCTTGTTCCAGGCTCTGCGGTACCCAACTCAAGGCAGATGCCCATACAGTACATTGTGAACAGATAGGAGGCCCCCCGTCTCACCCACAGACTGCTTCCCACCCCAGGCATATGGGACTCTACACCTCAGGATCTAGAGGGTCTCACACACCTTTCCTAAGAAACATCATTTCACTGCTTAAGAAGGTGTTCTTCTTTCCGACTTCTTTCCCTTCCCC